CTTCTGGAGGATGACAGTGCCCTAAAGATTAAAATTGTTTGCAACATTCCTCTGGAGTTGGGGTCAGGTTGTGATGTTCCTGGTGACACGGCTGTAACACCCTCAAGTCATCCTTACTATCCCCGGAGTTTCCTCATGGTCCTGAAAGCCATACTAGAGAATGAAGATGATACGCTGCTCTTTGATGATGAGGATGAGGAAGTTATAACCAAATTTTATCAGTTATCAGCTAGTGGTCACAAGTTATACGTAAGGCTCTTTCAACATAAATTAACATGGATTAAAATGAACAAATTAGAATATGAAGAGATTGCTCCAGATTTAACGCCTGTGATTGAAGAATTGCAATGTGCAGGCTTTCTACAGACAGAATCTGAGTTACAAGAGCTCTCTGAAGTACTTGAACTCCTTTCTGCTCCTGAACTGAAAGCCCGGCCAAGATCTTCCCCTATCCCAATGGACAGAAACAGCAGCTGGCAGATGCCTTTCTCAGATTGGCCAAGCAGCGTTCAGTCTGCACTTGGGGCAAGAGTCAGCCTGGAATTGGAGACATTATCTTAAAAAGAGCTAAAGCCTTGACTGGACAGTCACTGCAAGTCTGTAGAGGTCCCAGGGCTGTGTTTTCTCATCTTACTCCTGTTTTCATTGAGTGACTCTATGGAAGAAGAAGGTGCTTGTGGTGGTCAAGGTCAGCTTTCCACAGTGCTTTTGGTCACTCTTGGCTGAATGGAGTTTCCTAGTTATACTGTCAATCAGAAAACCCAAATCTTCCAAGACAGAGAGGATCTTATCAGATATGCAGTAGCTGTGAACATGCTGAGTGACATTTCCACAGCCATGGCCAATGGGAACTGGGAAGAAGCTAAGGAGCTTTCCGACAGTGCAAAAAGGGAGTAGAACAAACTGAAAAACCACCCTTCACTGAGGTACCTACCATAAGGAGTTAACACTCTTCCTGCGGTGTTTCACGGTCGGGTGGATTTATACACAGATTTTGTCTCAGAGTGTTGAGATACTGCAGAGGCTTCACATGTATGAGGAAGCTGTCAAGGAACTTGAAAAACTTTTGTCTCAGGAAATATATTGTCCTGGCAGTAGAGGTCGATGGTGGGACCAACTTGGCTCTTAACCTGCACCAGCACCTGAAGCGCCTGGAACTAGCTATCAGATGCATCCCTGAAGGGCTGGCGGATCCAGAAGTAAGGACATGGCACCGCCTTTCACTCTATCAGAGAGCCATGTGCCTGCAGGAGTCCCTGAGCTGTAAAAAGAACAAGCATCTCTTTCGTTAGCTGGCAGAAATAGCTATGGAAGATGTTAAATGTGACCATCACAGGCACACTGTGCCCACAGCGTGGGATGGGCAAGTCCATGTTTGTAATGGAGGCTGGGGACACTGCCACCCCTACCACGGTCCTGTGCTCTGTGGAGAAGCAGGCACTGGACCACTACAGATGCAATGGCTTTGATCATGGGATTCATGGAGAAGGGTCCACCTTCAACACGTTGTGCGGCCTCCTCCTATGCAACGTAATCTTCATGGCTGGGATCCCAGACGTCTTCAGAAATGCCTACCAGGCATCCCTGCTAGACTCGTGCACAGAACCCTTCATCACTAGCAGGAGGCAGGCGCCTGAAGCCAGGTTTCAGCTGATTCATGATGCTCCTAGAGAGCCTTCGGGCCTGGGTGGCCGCCACGTGGCAGGCCCAGAAGAGCCACGGGTCTTCCATCATCAGCTGGGATCGCTTCGCCTCTCTTCAGCAAGCTGAGGATCTTGTTTCCTGCTTGGGGGACCCCGTCCTCAGCAGTGTGTGCTGGCACCTGGCTACGGACTTTCAACACTGCCGAAGGGGCCGCTCTGACATGGTGGTATGGAACACTCAAGCCGTCAAGCTGATGAAAGTGAAAGGCCCCAGTGATTGTCTTTCACATAAGCAAATGATCTGGCTGGCTGAACTGCAGAAGGTGGGGGCGAAGAAGTCTGCCATGGGGTTGCAGTTGGGGCTGAGAGCAAGGGCCTCAGCTAAAAGCTATGGAATTGAACATCTGGTCATATGTTCATAAATGATTTTTTAGAACAGAAGGCAGAATTAGATTGTATTTTTGATTTTGTTATGGTCAGTAATAAAGCTTAGTGATTTAAAAAAAAATTTTTTTAATATAACATTTTATCAGTACAGGCAAGGACAAAAATGAGATGATCATCTCAATAGATGGAGAAAAAGCATTTGACAAAATTCAACATGCATTTAAGATAAAAACCCTACAAAAAATTGGAATAGACAGTCTCTACCTCAATCTGATAAAAGTCATCTATGAAAAACCAACAGCCAACATCATACTAAACGGTCAACTGAAATCCTTCACACTAAAATCAGGAACAAGAAAACGATGTCCACTATCACCACTCCTGTTCGATATAGTTTTGGAAACATTAGCCACAGCAATTATACAAGAGAAAGAAATAAAAGGAATAAAGATAGGAAATGAAGAAGTCAAATTGTCATTATTTGCAGATGACATGATA